CGAAAGTGGCAGTCGTCGGGCACCGAGACAGCCACCAAGACGATGGCGACTAGCCTGCAGTCCAATGACGGATGCATGCATCATTAATTCAACTGAAACAATGTTCAACAACTAAATAGCAACAAAAACAGAGGAGTAGGGGCAAATGGGGACATAGGTCCGCCAACGCTTAGCTTCATCCATAACCGAAGTGCCCCCTCCAAAAGGCAATGGAAGTTGAATGACTCTGAAACACCCTACACGTAAGTATAGTTACATGGCAAAAAAGTTTTTTATAGATAGCATTTTCAATTTTTGTTAACCTTCATCTTGAACTTTTAAAAGAGAAGTGACCATTTTTAGATATTGAAAGAATTGATGTCTTCCCAAGGCGACTCTTGAATTCCTAAGCATATGCAGGGTATTGTGGGTTCAACTGGCTAGGTGACTCTTCTTATTGGCGAATGCAATTAATAATTTGGCCCACTTACAGTTTATCTGAGCATCGAGAATGCTTTTGTAGATCCGTAAAATCATCGCATCTAGTCAATGTTTACTCAAAGATTAATGGGCAGTCAGTGCAGGAAACTTCACAGCTGATCCACGTGCCCAAAGCCCAGAGCTCTCGCTTCTGGCGTCTCGAGGTGATCAATCAACTGCTCTTCGCCCGAACCATCGTCGCGGATGCGAATGTATCTCACGGATGCCAAGCACGTTAATTGAAACTGCAGCTACTGCAGCCGAGGGAGTGGAAAGCTGCATCGAAATCAAAACGGGAATAGAAATGGGCACTATTCATCATGCGAACAACAATCAAAGAGATGTCGACGGACGGGTCCAGTGATAAGTGGATCTAAAGAAAAAATTCAATCAACAGGCTGACCCACTTTGCGATTGGCACTCGCCAGAACAGCAAATAGATTAAAAGTTCAAATGCAAAACGTTTAATTGGATTACCAGCAGTTGGGTGAGGGCATTTCATTAAATAGGAGCACCATGGCAATACTTTTTCCAGGTTTTCAAAATCTCATAATATGCACTTGAATAAAAGATTTGTATTCCCCTCCTAGTTTGTGTTGTCTAATCTTAAAAAATTCATATAAAATTATTGTAGAACTTATTGGGAGGCGTAAATGGGCAATGCAATTTATTTACACAAATGGAAGCAAAGCACCTTGAGTATGTTTACTATGTCATAATTTATCTGAGGGAAAAGTTGGCTACCCGCTAATGATCCCGATGTCTGGTTTAATTTTTTTGTTGGGTTTTCAGAACGGACATTTGAAATATAGAAGTGGGAAGGTACCCACAGACTATCGATGTGTTGGCTATTTGCACGTTAAGTAAGGAGATAACGTATCCAGAAATCTTACCTTCTTTCTATAGTTATCCATTCATATGAGGGGTTTTGTTCGTTGTCTGATGAGTGTCGTTGGGGGAACTATAACTACTCCCTAGATCCGTTGTTTCGTTGCTTATGCCTCTCACTCGCGCTTGTATTGCCACCGTTATTGTTAATTTAACTCTTACCACAGTAACAGATGCTGTTATTGTTACTTTAACAAATCTTGTTGTTATTGCAGTCGTTGTTGTTGGTATTTTCTTTGTTTGTAAGGAAAGCAGACGCAAGAGCAGACGCAAAAGCGACGACGCTTTCCCGCAGAGCTCTTTTCCAGCATTTTTGGGGCAACTGCGAATTTCCACAGGAATATTCCTATATCTGTGATTCCTTACTCTTCTTCTTCCGATTCCGGTTGCTAATAGGTTAACTGTCGTGTAGTGGCATTTTCTACAGTTGTTGTTGTAGGAGAAGCTCTCTTGCTTAATAATTTTCCGATAACCTAATTTCTTTCACTGTAACAATTCGTTTCGCCTTCTTTCCTTACTTTAATGTTTCAATTCTCCTCCTTTGCTCCTTTTTTCCTTGTTTTTGCTGTTTTGTAAATGGACGTTTTGTTGTTGTTTGGCTTAATTTTGATATGTATGCTTGTTGTGTTTAATCCTTGTTTGCTTCGTGGCCTTTTTTCGTTGTTTCGATTATTGAATAAACGTGATAGCTTAGTTTACTTAACTTCCTGCTCTTATTGTATTTTGTCTGTCCTTTTTGCCTGCTGCTGCTTCTTCCCCATTTCGCTTTCCTTTGCTACCTTTAATTTTGCTCTCCTTCTTCTTCGACAGTCAGCTGTCATTGACAGCGAGAGAGAAAAGGCAAGAAAAGAGAAATGTTTATGCTCTCTTTGCGCAAACTCTTTGATGTTGGTGTTGTACAATGCAATAATATAATGTCCTAAATCGACGGCGTTCTTTAATTTTTCCTGTCATCGCTAGTGAAAATTCCATAGAACCCAAAATAACGGGATCGAAATGAATTTTTCCATCGTTTAAAAATTTTAAACCAAATAATAATTTAATTTGGCACTGTCACTAACTTTTTTCAATAATTTATGCGCGCGCTTTTTACTGTTATATTCCTTAACAACAGATACTTCAACGAATTTTTGCCGGGGTGCATTTATTTCTAGCCCGCCTTGGTTTATTTTTTTCAATCGTTAGTAATAAATGTGGAAAAAAAGAACAACCGAATTTCGTTAGATCCGCGCAGCTACAAGTCTTCTTTTGCACAACTTTTACGCTCTGTCTTTTGTTTCGCTGTTTCTTTTTTGTGCCCTGTGTTCCATTCAGGTTTTGCGTTTTTTTTTGCCCGTGTTGTTGTTTTTTCTTGGGGTAGTTTTCTCTCGCTAACTCTCTCATTTATTTTCTCTTAGCTGTCAAGCTTTGCAACCCCTAGAATATACCGTTTGGGTGCCAGTGCTCCAAAAATACAGTTTAGTGTTTGACAAGATTGTTGTTTTTGTTTTGCTTGGTTTTCGTTGCCGACTTTTCGGCGCTTTCCAATACTGCCAAGTGCCATGTGCTCGCATTACACACCCTTCTCGTTTTTTTTTTTTTTAATAGGGTACACTTACCCCTTCGGAAAACCCCTTTTGAAATTCCTAATTGGCCGCGTTGAGGCATTCCAAAGTGTTCTCATGTTTATATTTCCTCTTCTTAATGCATAATTAATGCGACAGAGGGCGAGCATAGGGTTCGGGGCTTCGAATTGGGATCCCTTTTTCAGTTAACAGTCAGGCGACCTCGGGCGACAGATTGTCCTGACAGAATGACTATTTAAACGAGTAGGTGGGAGTCCCACCTCTGCCCTTGACTGGTTATGGCCTGTCAAAACGTTTACCCAAGGTTGAAGACCTTGGTTTTAAGCGTACACTTCCTAAGGTTATAAGTAAGCGGTATGCGGCAACTTTATTAGAACAGATCCGCCGGCATCATTAGGTACTTCATTGGCCCCTATGCTAAAATCCGTCCAGAAACCATCTGAAGAAATTCCTGCTTAGCAAGAAGCCGCCCACAAACTTTAGTAACACACAGCACACAGCTTTCCAGCATACTTGGCCCATAACAGCCCGTAGTAATAGTTATAATGAACTAACCCATTTTAAAGCCCTGCGACTACTAATTGAAGCATAAGTAATGAGGCTGTTAACGATTTGGCTACCCAAACAAAAACGGCAAGGTTGCCTGCAATTTAAAGGGGCGGAAAATTAAAACAGGGATACCCAGGCGTTTAGGGGTGGCTATTGCCCTTTTAGGCCAGCCCTTTCAGCTAGTTAACATCCACGTGTTAGTACATGGGTTTAATCTCGGCGCAAACAAAGTAACAAGAATTCAATTTGTCACAGTGGTTGGGCCGCTGTTCCATGTTTTGCATTACGGGTTTGGGTTTTACCTCTCCGGAAAAATACACACAACCAATCGAAGCCAGAAATTCGGAAAGGTGGCCAAGGAACCAAGGCAAACATTGCCTGGTAGCGGTAGCTCAGAGAGATAAAACCATGATCTGGTCATAAGAGTGGGTGGATGAAATACACTGCGGGAACGCGGCATACATGATATAGTTTGGTTATTTATATGTTATATTAATGATTTTTGTAATAAGAAAACTTGCCAATCCACCCAAAGAGGGTTCTTAGACAACAATATGATCCTGTTGAGCTGTATGCATTCTTGATATCTTAGAATTTGTGAATTGGAAAGTCTGAAAGTTAAAGACTTTGTTCTATGACACCGAATGATTTTACCCAGTGTAGCAACAGTGTGCAAAACGCGAGGCGGTGGTGTAAATATTAGCATTTCGCTTGTTTTTTGGGGTGTTGCGTTAAGCAAAGCCAAAAGCCTCCGGGGACTTGTTAATGCAAACAATGCGCATTTGATATTGAAAGCATCAGCATCAGCATCAGCAGAAGGAGCAGGGGTAGGATGGAGCAGTTAGCCGGGACGGGCCCGACTACAGCCTGTGTCCTTCGTCCTTCGTCCCCTTGGGGGTGATTTCTGCCCAGGGGAAAGGGCAGCAAGGAGCTCAATGAATGTCTGGTAAAGCTCTGTTCCGCTTGCAGCCGCACGAACTCCAACGGGGGCCTGCATTAATGTGTGTTTCCGGGGGAGCTGTGGGTGCTTCGGGGGCGCTGAGCGGAAGTCGATTTATGTTTTGAAACCGTGCCCAGGCTGAACATTCCGCACCCCTCCACCCACATAGGGTGTATATGCACTCAAAAAAAAGAAGGTGTTGGGTTGCAGCTTTTAATTTATGTTTTCACTTTTCTAGGGATTTAAATAAATAAACAAGGTGTTAGGGAAAGTCTCTAAAAAATCGGGAAGAAGTTGGTCAAAAAACATCTGTCTAACTGTATAGATTTCTCGCAGTGTTGGTTTGCCGCTCGGGTTGCTTATACTCTTTTGGGTTTTCGGTCCAATAAATGTTGGCGCAACAGCTGTACACCCTACACTTACAGTTTCTTCACCCCGCCAGAAAAAGCATTGTCATTGAAATCCGTGGACAAACTGCCTTAAAAACTGTCGTCCAATGAACAGCCCTTTGTCTAGGATAAACTGGCTCTAATGTCTGCTTGCCATTTTTTAAGTTCGCCACCCCTGCGATAAGGACCTCCAGTCGGTTAACGACTTACCTTATCTTCAGCTTCCTCGGCGCGTTCTTCCGCTTCGATGACGCGTTGTTCCAGCTCCGTTAGCTGCAAATAGAAAGAAAGCCCAGAAACTTTGTTAAAACTCATCGTTGTTGGCGTTACAAGTTCCTTAAATGCCCGAAATTATATTAAAACAAGTCCCTAAGTCTGACAGGTAATATGGAGACATCATTTATAATCTCAAAAAAAAAAAGTTATTATTTATTTCTTATCTAAAGTGTGAATTACACTATTTATACATGACTAAACGTTGACTGATAGGTCCTTCGCTTCGTTTATAGGAATTCACAATCCTTAATTTATATCCTTATTATTTTACATAGCTCAATTATTATTATTTTACATAACATGGACCACGATTAAATAAATCCTTCACTGCTGGCCATGTTTTTTTTGCTAGTATTATTATTGTTATTATTATATGTATTATTATTAGTTTTCCGAGGGAAAAGTCCACAGACATAGCCGAAACAACAACCCGACGTCACTATTTAGCTGGTACATGAACTAAAAACTTGTTCGCTTTAGCGAAGACAACCACCCTGCGTAAAAAACTTCCCAGTATTTTTTGTTTTTTGACGTGGTGACTTTCGGTGGACCGTGCACAGACGACGTCAAAAGTATATTCGGGGGTTTTTTTTTTTCTAGAGGTTTTCTTAAGCCTCTTGAAAGCTCCATCTGCTCAGGGAATCTATCCATCAATGAATCAATCATGGGAAATGACAGACAATTTGCGGTTAATAAGGATAATGCTCTCTCGCTAATACAATTCATAACGTTGGGATCTATTTTGTTGCACCTGCTATTAATATAATGTGGGGAAAGGGGGCACATTTTGCAGCATACTCGGAGATAATCCCGCGCTTTTAACTGCTCAATGGCCTGCCATCAACAAAGGTTAAAAGCCGGTCTCGTGAAAAGCCTTCAAGGAATTCCTTTCCAATTAATCACACAAGTGGCCTTAAGGACCCCGTGTAAAAGGGAAAAAATGTGGAAACGAGGAGGAACTGAAGGAGGAAGCTGGTTAAACGCCGCTAAGAATTCCACTTGAACCGCGCTCGATCTCTCGTCTATTTTGAATGCCTTAAGTGCATTAATTTCCGCTTTTTATGCCATTCAAGTGGCCACTCAGCCAAGAGGCCGTGGGGTAGGCAGTGGGCTTGCCACCCATTGATTGATGGCTGTCAAATTGTTGTGCAAAATATGAAGAAGCCTCCTTCGCTCTTCTTTTCTCTTTGGGCTTGGGCACCACCGATGATGAATGGAGTAGCGGAAGTGGCAGGAAGATTCCGAAGCGTCAGCTTGGCTTGTCGGGAATGTAGACGAAGGTCTGGTTCGCTCCATAGAAACCGTTTAAAAGGTAAATCTGTTAAAGCTCTTTAGTTGGTAGTTATACCTTATGTTGTTTACTTTTTATAATTCCCTTGATTATATGTACCAAAACCCAAAGACTCTTTTTTTTTTTGAATGACCGGCTGTGCCATTCGGTATGTAAGAAACAGCTGTGCGGGGCAGGGGAAACGCTATAAAACCAAGGAACCTTCGGACAACGCTCCAGAACTGAAAAATTATGTGCAGCAATCTGAGCGACTTGTTTGCCTGCATCAGGGCTCAAGAAGACTCGGAGGCGGACAGGAGCAGCACCACCCATCGGCGGAATAACGCAGATGTTGACGAGGAAGCGCCCGATCCCCAAAGGGATCTGCTGAGGCGGCAACAGCAGCGGCAAAGGGAGCTGCTCCTCCAGGAGAGAAACTTTACATCCAAAGTCCCCCTATTGGATACCCTTCCACCTTCCTTGAACGGCTGCATCCACCCTCCTTCGATCTCCCTCGAAGCTCGGGCTCCTGTCCCGGAACCCGAATAATCTAGATCCAGCAAATATATACCCGATCACTTCTAGACGAACTAAAACTTTGTTTTTAAAATAAACCCACAAATGTCACATCTCTGATTTGCCTTTGCCTGTTAAACGAAATGTGTTAGTTTTTATGCGATAGCAGACTGGTCTTTACCGATTATAAAATGTTAACTATTATGTTGTTTTTGTGTGCGTGAATGGGAAAACTCTGTGGGGTGAGCATACTATGCTGCAAAAGTTAGTCAAACTAATGGATTATATGGAAAGCTAGGAAGGCAGAAAGTTGGGCCCGTCTTGCGTGCGTGAAAAGATTGCCGGGGTTTTGCCGGATCTACCAGTTTTTCCCTCCCACTTTTCCGCTCCCTCTTATCGATACACCTGCTTAATCAGGGGCGTTTCGGCCTGCCGATTGGCGGGTTAATTGGAAGGAAACGACAATAACAACAACAACAACAACAACAATCGACGGCCTTAAGCAGAAACATTTGGCATTTAGTGCTGCGGGCGTGGCAAGACACTTTAACAAAACAACTTTTACAACTTTCGCCACACAGTCGCAACAGCAACAACAACAACAACAGCAAAGGGAACTGCGAACTGCGAAATCACACGGAAAATGTAATTTTGCAGCCACGATTGCAATTCCCGCAAACAAATGGCTCACAATGGGTGCAGCTGGCCCACCGAATCCGCTCTCTCAACCGCTTGCTGCCGAAGGAGGTGACTTTGGCCATTAGTGGGTTTAGGTGTCGTTTGTCGTTTGTCCCGCTGTGGCAAAGTTGCCGGCGAATGTTGCACTAAAAGTTGTCTTTCTCGAGGTAGCGTTGTAGATGCGTATAGGGGTTGGTCGGGACGGGCGGGTAGAACTGAAGATAAAGGGATGTTTAGATCTCCATCTATGGTAAAAAGGTTTCTGCCCATTCACTTTTAACCGATAAGAAATTGCTCCAACTTTGCGTGAGTTTGCTTTGTGCTTTAGCCCGTAGAAGAAATCGGGTTTGAAATCTAAAAAATCATAACATCAAAAATATAATAAATTTAGTATTAAATTAATTACTTTCTGATACGCGACGTATACTTGATATTGTATAGGAAAATACTCGAACTTTGCATGAGTTGGCTTTGTGTTTTAGCCCGTAGAAGAAATCGGGATTGAAATCTAAAAAATCATAACATCAACAATATAACAAATTTAAAAGTAAATTAATTACTTTGTGATACGCGACGTATACTTGATATTGTATTAGAAAATACTCGAACTTTGGATGAGTTGGCTTTGTGTTTTAGCCCGTAAAAGAAATCGGGTTTGAAATCTAAAAAATCAAAACATCAACAATATAATAAATTTAGTATTAAATTAATTACTTTGTGATACGCGACGTATACTTGATATTGTATAAGAAAATACTCGAACTTTGCATGAGTTGGCTTTGTGTTTAAATCTAAAAAATCACAACATCAACAATATGAAAAATGTAATTTTAAATGAATTACTTTGTGATACGCGACGTATACGTGATATTTCCGATGTACGCGTCGTATACGTAATATATCTGATAAAAACTGCCATTTGTAGTTCGTAAACATATGCATAGCTTCGCTGATCCCATAGCTGATGAGTGCTGTGTTTATTTGCATATACTCCTCCTGCTACAGCAATCACTTTTTTATTGCGTATACGTAATTATTTCCGACTTGTGGAAACTCGCAAAAATCGACAAATTTGTGGCTTAATGGGCTTTATTTTTGACTTTTGCAAACTTAACATGATGCAACCAGGTAATCTTATACCAATTTAACCTATCGAATCACTCCCTTTGTCCGACGAATGCTGTTTACCCAACCCCCTTCTAGCTGACTTGCGGATTTGTTATTACGTCCATTGCTATTGGCTTTCAACTCATATGGTTGTTGTCCCCTCATTTGGTTTTCGTTTTGATTGCAAAAAGTTAATTAAAAATTTGTTGTAATTGAATTTTATTGCATTGTTTGTTTGCATTTTGTTTTGTTCAGTTTTTTTGCTCTGCTTTGTTAGAGTTTTGTCGTGTTTTTCTTGGTTTTGTCGGGTTTTTGTTGTCTGGACATTATGCCATTTGTTGTCATTTGGTTTTTGCCTTTGCCCGTAATTGGATTATGGCAAAAAGAGTTTTAATTAAGCCGAATGAATGAAGCGAAGTAAGGGTGAGCGGTGGGCTTTGGCTTTGGTTGGATTAGATGATGAGTTCCGGGAGTCGGGGATCGTCGAAGCCGTAGTCATCATAGCACTCCTGCTCGGGAGCCCTGGGACTGCGGATGACTTCAAAGGTCAACGGCGGAGTGGGCGGGAGTACGATATTTCCAGTCTTGGGCGGCGGCGACTCCTCAATCGCGGGAGTGGAGGGAAATTCCATCATACAATCACCGCCGAACCGCCGGCAGCCGAAGAGATCCACCAAAAAACCCAGAAACATCCCCACCACTCAATCGATTATACAGTACTGTACTGTCAGAATCACAGGCTCCCCAGGTGCCACCCCCTACCACCCACTCGATTTCCACAAGTCCACACCCACAATCCACAAATCCACAGCACAGCTGCGTTCACAGCTGAATTGAGTAATCAGAATTCGCCAATGGATGGATTACCGAAACCCCGCACGGCGATTTCCCGCACCCATCATCATCATCGGTGTAAAAAGCAAATGACAATATTAATTAATATTAAAATTAAATATCGCTCGTTTGGCGTTGATTAAGGAATGTGATCATGTATTATGCATAGTGCATTATTTTATATTCACTCCAACGGCATTACGTAATCCGCTGGCCATATGCACACGTATTTATGTACTTATGCATTTATGTTTGTTTCTGTATATAATTACATTTATGCGCGGCCATCAAATTCAATGGGGCTAAACATTTGCATAACGAATGCAGACCGCCCACTTTGCCCCCACTCCCGCCCACTTATTCCAGAACTGCGCAAATCCACGAATGCAGACCGAATGCAATGACAGCTGCGCGAATACCCTTCTCCTTCTTTTCTGGCTTAAAAGTTCAGCTTATTCGATTTATTGTGGATTATGTCATTAAATATCCAAGCTATGTTTATCCCAATTTAAAAAAGTCTTAGTAAGAGTATAGAAAGTCGATCCAGGGCGAGAGGTTTGTTTGAGGTACATAAATGCAAGGCCAATGGTGCGTGGCACATTCAACAATTCAATTTTTTCTTGCTCATCGTGTTTGTTTTTTAAGCGTCTTTCTCGCTTCCCCATATCGCCATCCCGTTAGCTCTCCGCCCGGCTTAACGGTCAATTTAATTACGGGAAGAAGAAGAGTTTGAGTGAGGGTAAGGGAATGAGAGTGCGATAGTGGGATGGAGTGTGTTGCGAAACGGAACAAGGACAAAAACAATTTGCAATCTCTTAATCACACTTACTCACTCGCTCTCTCCCTTCTCAACTTTACCCCCTGCATCTCTGCCTCTCTTGCTCCGTGATTTTAATTATGCTTAACAAGCGGAAGAATAAGAAGCAGCAGCTGAGAAAGACAAATGAAGGCCGTTGCTTGACTTCCACCAGTCTTTCAATCCACATTTCACACTCAATGCTCCTCATTTGTCAAGATCATGTTGGGAGCAATATTAAAAGTGAAATGATGTCAAAACTGTGACAAATTAAATGTACTGCCATCCCACAATGCCCACCTGAATGCCATGTCTCCCGACGTTTTGAGCTCCACTTTAGACCCTAATAACCAGGCACTTCCATTCTCTCACCTTTCAACCCTTTGTATGAGCCCACTGCATTGTTTATTTGCTCTTTTAACTGGTGTCCTTTCTTCTTAGTTATTGTTGAAATTTTTTATTGGCATTGTCTTTGGTTCTTGTCGCCTCTTTGTCTTAAAAGTTAAGCACTTTTTGACTACGAAATGATTACTGCATGAAAGGAAGCTAATTCTAAAACAAGACACAGCTTGAAGGACATCGCGTATTTCTCTCTTTAAGAATCCTGAAATATGTTTAATAGTCGCTTGCCTTGAATTTATTGTTTCCACTTTGCTCTTGGTCCCTGCTCCTTTGCATTGTGCATAATTAAGAGGCTGTATCTGGTGCGTGCTAAGCGTGTACCTCCGTCCTCTGTGCCGCTTATTAGTTGGCCAGGATTAAGCTTTGAAAAGTGAACGTTACGTTAAGGGGGTCAGATGTCAGGGGAGGAAAGAGAGTGCGAGCGGAAAATGCTCTTCAAGATGGACAGCACAAGTTGTGTGAAAATGTTTGGAGTGCGAGCGAAAGTAGGCCATCCACGACCACCGCTGCCGAATTCATGTCAATTGCATGAAGGCCGAGCCCATACGCACTGTGGCCCCTCCACGCACCGCCCTCTCCGTTTTCCGTTTTCCATTTTCCACTTTCCTTTGCGCATTCTTTTTTTTGGCTTTAGGTCAAGTGGAAAGAACAACAAGCACGACAAGAATAACCACAACATAAAAAAGTAGGTTAACATGGGTTAAGGTGTGTCATTAACTTGCCACAAACACACATGGGAGGCAAGGCCCGACATTGAGTCTACCCTGCGGCAATTTCCATTCCCTGTTTAATCTTTCCTTTGCATGCATGCACAGCAAAAAAAAGTCTATAAAATGTTAAAAATTCCCGTGTCTTTTATGAGGTTTTTCATCTAAAATATTTGCTTATTTACATAGCGTGGGGGGAAATTGAATAGACTTTTGAATTAGAAAAAATATTGAATAAATCGTTGTGTGCACCACCTTTGCAATAATTTCTTTGTGAGCCACAGCCCGCGGAGCCATTAGAGGGGCATTTCACAACTGCCACCGGCGGCTGCTCATTACGGATAATGTGCCAAGGGCGGATGTTGCACCTGCAGCTGCCGCATCCCTGACCCACGAACTAATTAGAAGCTAGGCGGCAAAGTCGAACTCAGTGCGGCCTGCGCGTCCTGCAACAGCACTTGTGTTCAGGCTCGGGCGCCATCTAAATTGACACAAATTGCCATGAGGCAAGTACATCAGGGCAATCAGATTAGACGATGTCGTCGTCGTCGCATCATGTGCGATGTGCTTTTCACGACGCTGCCCTCCTCTTTTCCCCCCACTACCACCCCGCCCATCCCGAGTTGACTTCGGTTTTCCGCTCCACAAGGGAACGCTGGGGCAGAAGCAGACACGCAACGTTTTTGCAGCTGCTTTCAATCATGACGCACGGATTAGGACTCAGGTTAAAGATTAACAATGCCAAAAAGGAGCGCAGACAAGGCGGGATTCCCAGGGAATGCTCGGCTACTTAGACAATAGACGTTTGCTCACGTCACGCCCCCTTTTAGTTGGGGTGCCCCTGATGGATGGAACGGAATAGATTGGATACGACCATGAAGTGGAAAGAGCGTAAGATAAGATAAGCCGATTGCGAGCAGTGAGAAGTGAACTGAAGGCAGGGCAGAAACGAGAACGCGATCAAGGGCGGAGCCGAATTTCAGGGGATACAAATGTAGAAAATATCCAACGAACAAGTTGCTCTTCTTGAAAGGCGACATGTAAAAGATTATTACAAGAGAACAACGAAATTGTTCTTTTTAGAAAGCCTAAGTAAATAATAAACGCGAACCATTTCACTCATATCTTGCCGTCCTTAAATAATATCCCTGCAAATTAAGCTCTCGAGTTGGGCGCAAAAAGTGACAAACAATTTGATGAACGTACTCGAAAGCCATTCGTCATAAAGAAAGGAACACTTAGAAGGTAGAGTTATCCCAAAGCTATTAGCAGCTGATGGCGTCTCAAGAACTCCAAGGATAGCAAACCCATGCCCAAGCCAAGCTCCGCTTACACGAACTCAACTCAAGATAAGGACAACAAAGACAGTCGACGAATAACAATTAGTGCAGGAAAAAAAGGAAAAGAAGGACAGGCGCAAAGTAGGAGCAAAAAACAGGCAAAAAACAGGAGTCCGCGCAATAATCACGGCCAAGTGCTGCATATTTATAGGCGCAATCAAGTTAATTGCACAAACAGCAGCACCAGATAACACAACAAAGGACCGCGACTACCTCCTTCAAACTAATTACCTTAATTGTGGGCAGTAAGACAGGTGCTTGTGGCTCCGCTCTTCGCTGAACGAAATCATCTCTATTGGGTTCCTTCACGAGGAGTTATTCATCTTCCGTTTCGCTCAAGGTCCTTGCAGTTTCTTCAAAACTATAGTTGGCTAGCCTGCGAAGGTCCTTGGGCCCACTTAAAGGAATGTTCAGCAATAACAAGTGTACTCAGCCCAAAATACACTAAGAACTTGCTTTAATTAGCAATATCATAAACGCTTTTCTTTTTATTTAGAATTGGCAAAGCCGAATTAGTGGGAAGAGGGCGGTGATGAAAAGGAGGCTGGCAAAGCTCCTAACAAATCTTTTCTGTCGGAGTATTTCCATTTCAATTTTCAGGTCGTTTTTTTTTCAGTTGAGGGACTATATAGTGGTATTGCCCAATGCATTCTACTGCGCCCTTTTTTCTAGTCCGCTGCCCTGAGGTGAATTTCAATTATCCTCGTCGGGGCATATACGTATATTGCCTGCACTTTCGTTCTTCCTCATTGCCAGGCTATCCTTGTATTTCATTTTTAGTTTTATGCATGAGACGCCCCACCAGCCCCACCGCCCACTTGCCCACTGCTGCCCCATCTCAGTCCCACTTTTCTGCCTTCCGGTCTTGCTCTCCACTTTATCTACTTCCTCGGCGGCGCTTGCTGGCCATTTGCGCTGCGAATTGTTTGCATACAATACGGAAAGTGAGGGGAGTGGTAGGTAAGATGGCCCAAAGCAGGGCCTAGTGCGAAGCCCCAGACCCATTTGTTTTGGGTCTTAACTTTTGGTGCGGCTTATTTGTGCGGCCAGATTAAGTTTCAAATTGATGTGCGTTTTGAGTCGGCCAGGAAACGGAAGCGGAAGTGGCAGAAGAAATACGAATCGGGGTCTGGCTGGGGGTCATAGTTTTCCTCCGTCGATGAGATGGAACTCGAGGCGTGTAAGCCGCATTGATGGCCAAACTTTAATTTGATCATTTTTTTCGGCTGCCTTCTGTCTATTTTCAGAAAGAGCCGATAAGCTAGCTTTTATGGCTCAAAATCTCGGGAGCTTCACACGGGACCATGATAGCTAATCTGCGGGGATTGGTTAGCCTTCAGAAGGTCCTGGAACAAAAAGCACGGTCTTCTACGCGATTTAGCACTGAATATGGGAAATGTTCTGGTGAAGTGTCACCTTGCAATATGAATGTGAAACGGAGACGAAGAACATATGATCTAATTGGGAGTTGTTGAATATTATTTATCCATTTTACTAACGACCAATTTCTTTCTCTATTCGCTTGACATGAACACTTCAAAAGATACTAAGTAGTACATATATTAACGCGGGACGCAGAATTCATTGCCAATGCCAACTTTTTACTTTTGATC